CAAATGAAAGACCTTTCGTTAAATTCATCGAAAATTCACCATTCCCACCCCAACAAACAACTGTATAATTCATTCTAAGAATTCCACAAGTATGATTAACCCCTAAAGCTAATCCGTTATACTCATAAGCAAAATTAGATGGAATATCTAATTGACCATTTTCATTATCTCCTTTGCAGATTAAAAAACCTGTAGAATTCATCCCACAAGCATGTTTTCCACCGGCAAATATATTCACTACTGTAATATTACCAAAACCAGATTGAATAGCTGAAGCAATATCCCTATTGTTTCCCCAGCATATAACCCTATTTGAACTTTTCAAAATTCCACAAGAAAATCCCGACCCAGATGAAATTGACATGAATTGTGACGACCCATTTGGTTGTTTCGCCAAATTCGAGTCATCTCTCCAACATTTAACATTTTGGGTACCGTTTGTTAAGCCGCAAATTTGAGTATCTCCCATTGTAACAGTTGTTAACAAAGTTGAGTAACTGAAGAAAAGTCTTTTGGGTTGAAAACTTGAGTTCCAGAAGAGAAGGGAAAACCCACCGGTTTCAACGCCGGTGAAGCCGTTAACTCCGCCGGCGATGGAGTTAAAGGAGGCGTTAGGAGATATGGGGATGGGTGCTAATTGATTTTCTGACCAGCATTGGATTCTTTGGATTGGTTGAGAAGCTACTATGCCGCAGATAGTGATGTTGGCGCCGTAAGCAACGGCCAAAGTGGTGGCGGAACTACCGAGGGCATGAGAAAATGGTAGTAAAACAGAAGTTATCAGTGAGATAACGGCGGCAACGATGACGGCGCCGGCGCCGGAGATGGGTAATGTCATCAGAAATTTTCTGTCATTTGTAGAAGGAAAAAGGCTATGATGTAAGCTAAAAAGTTGGAGCAATGGTGGATTATACTGTATATGTGTGAACAGTAGCTAAGCTTAACAGAGTTTTAATTTAGAGAATTCAAAGTCAAAATATAAAGAAATGTTTGGAAGGATTTTATTTTTTTTAAAGACAGCGGGTGTCAAAAGAATATGAAAAATCGGCCGAACCGACCTAATCTAGCCGTATCGAATCGATTTGTATCATTGAGATGGTCTTTTAATTTATAAAAACATCAAAAAAATTCTCAAACTAAATCGAATAACCTTACATTTATGTGAATATATTTTATATATTAATAATATGTTTTATATATATATATATATTATAACATTTTTCAAATATAAATATAAATTAGGTCTTAGATACTATAATAGATATTATATCAAACGATATGGTAAAACCTATGTAAGCACTCTTATTAAACAATACGGTAACACAATTTTATATTCTTGACATCTTAGCGAAGAATTGAAGTGCTTCTTCAAGAATATACTTGTGAAAAAATAATATTTTAATTATAGTATATATTGAGGTGATACTTTAAAAGTAAAAAAAATGAAATTAATCGAATTGTACCGATCCGAAGAGAAACCAATATGATTGGGATGGTTTAAAAAAATTTAATTTTGATTATACATTATGAAATACTCGAAAAATTGAGATGGTATAATTTTTTAAAAATAGCCGACCGAACCGTCCCATTGACACCCCTACTATTTAGTACGAAGGAAATATTTTCTTCGAAAAATGATTTTCTAGAAAAAGTTCTCTAAAAATAATAAGTGGATTTATTACTTATTTTTTTAGTGTTAGGTAGATAAGCAAGAAAATATTATTTCAAAAATATTTATATGGTATATAGCAAAATATTATGGAGACGGGATGAATGAAGTGGATGTTTGAAGGTGGTGGGGGTGGGATGTTCAAGGGGTGGAGGTTGGGGGATTAGGTAGGTGGAGAACGGAGATGAAGCAATAAACTTGGAATATCACTTATACAAATTACTTTTCCTAATGTCTAGGAAGATTTTTCTTGAAAATTTAACAAATAAATGTCTTTCAAAAAGAATTAACTGCAAGAGTAACAATAGGAAAATTTTAATTAATATTTTCTTGATTTAGTAAGGTAGACAATTAATATGAGACAATTATTTTAGTAAGATGATCAACTAATATGGAACGAAGATAATAAAAGCTTAAGCTTAAAAGCTTTATCCATACGTAGTGAGACTTTAGTTTTCTAAGCATTTAGCTTTTAGAACCCTCTTTTCCTTTGATCCTTCGTGTGTTCATTATCCTATTCCAATTCGATTAAGATAATTTGCTCACTTTTAAGAAATTTGCCTTTTCACTATAATTCTTTTTTCAAACATATGAAAATTGCAAAACATTTTTTGAAAAATATTTTCCTCTATAATAAACGGCAAATGCACAATTTATTATTCACTCCATTTCAGTTTATTTTTCTTACTTTTCTTTTTAATATACAAAATAAAAATCTCTATTTTTATTTATTTAATTTCAATTTCTTACATTAAATATTTAAAATCATAAAATTAAAGAATATTATAATAATACATTTTACATATTTTTAAAATTTATGATCATAAAAAAAATTCTTAAAAAATTATTTTCTAAAATTGTACTATCAAGTAGGAATCAGCGAAACCAATTAAATGAATTATCACAAATTAATTTGAGACAGGGACGGCTACGCCATTATGTTTGAATCGTTCTTTTTTGCAGAGTTCATGTATGGTACATATCATAAATGCAATGTTGCCATATGTCTCTCTCTTTTTCTTTTTCTTTTTAGGTAATTCTATACCTTTTTTCGTCTCAAATAATATGTCGTGATTTTCACGTTCTTTAGAAAATGATAGTTCTTTCGTTCTATTATATGTGACGTTATTTAACTTGATATGTATTTAAGAAAAAAATGAAGTTTTAACTTATGGTTTAGAACAATTCTTTGATATTTGTGTAGTTATAAATCATTTCATTAAGGATAACATAGAATTTTTAAAGTGAAAATTATTTCTTAATATAATAACGAGATTATTTTTTTTGGAATGTAGGATGGAAGGAGTATTACTTTTTTTAAAATTAAATTTATGTTTTTATTTTTCTTTTTAGTTTATTTTAATAAATGAATAATTGGTAACTCTTTAATTTAAATTTTGTATAAGATATATTCAAGAACATAAGATTAAAGCATACTTTGGTACACTTTAGTATTTTACATATCTTTAATTTAAAATTATAAGATTCAAAAGTATTTTCTTTTATGTTTTTAAACTTCGTATGAAGTTAAAACTATATAATTGAGACGGAAGTAGAAATTAGGTACGAGTTTTAACTATTTTACTCTTTATTGATATCTGAACAATCATAGCATCACTTCATATTTGAGGTGTTTATAGTCTTCAACAACAATAATTATAAGCATGAAATGAGAAGAAGAAAACTAATTACTTTTTTCCTGAACTTTAAAGAAAACAAATCATTTGAAATAATTATTTTTAAAAAACACGACAAATAAATTTAGACGAAAAGAATACGTCTCAAAATACTAAAACTTTTTATTATCAAAAATATGTATCTCAGACTACTCGTCACTTTAGAAGTTTAAAATAAAATCAATTACTAGGAAGCATTTGATAGCTAATTAAAATTACATATGTATTAATAATACAGGTATTAGATATATATATATATATATATATATATATATATATATATATATATATATATATATATATATATATATATATATATATATATATATATATATATATATATATATATATATATATATATATATATATATATATATATATATATATATATATATATATATATATATATATATATATATATATATATATATATATATATATATATATATATATATATATATATATATATATATATATATATATATATATATATATATATATATATATATATATATATATATATATATATATATATATATATATATATATATATATATATATATATATATATATATATATATATATATATATATATATATATATATATATATATATATATATATATATATATATATATATATATATATATATATATATATATATATATATATATATATATATATATATATATATATATATATATATATATATATATATATATATATATATATATATATATATATATATATATATATATATATATATATATATATATATATATATATATATATATATATATATATTTCGAAGAAGCCATAGTTGACGAAAGGATAAGTTGGTGTGTGAACGTTGACATATTTTATATCTATAATAAAGTGTGAATTGAAATAGGAAAGTACTTGAGAAGATATTGTGGATCCAAGAGTAAATATATACCACATAGAGCAGTATGGTTGTTATATAGGGCCACCGGCCACATTATCACACAACATTTCTTTAATTAGGAAGGGGGGAGGCAGGTATCTGATAGAATAGTCGATGTGCATATAAAATTGACTTAGGTACTACCCTAATGACAAAAAAAAATTATTTAATCCCTTAATATCATTAAAAGTTCAAATTTTAATAATTTTAGTAATTATTTAGTTAATTTTATCCCATGTTATGCATCATGGACTTGTGGTCAACTAGCCTGTTTAAGAAAATAATCATAGTAATTGGACTATAGCTTTTACGAGGTATGTGTTATCTCCCACTAGCACAGATATTGAATAACTCTATCCGCTGAAGTTTCAATAGATGGAAGAAATCGTCTAATGATAACATTTGCCTCCACTATGATTTACTTTGTCCTCAACTAGCTTTCATATGGAACCTCAAGCCTCAAACACGATCAATGGCGTTGGAGGTCCATTCCTCTGCCAGAGAATATCCATGATATGCTTTTCCTTGATCCGAGGATCTATCAGAAACAACCTCTGTCTTCCAAGGTAGGGGTAAGTATAAGATCTACATACACTTCACCCTCTACAGACCTCACTTATGGAATTACATTGTGTTTGTTGTTGTTCTTGTTGCCTCCGGGGATTGTAGAAGTTGAAAAAAATACAAAAAATACTTACAAGACAAGGAATAATAATATTGTAGCCACTAAAAATATTAAGAACTGAGAAGGTTTAAACAAATTAACACTTAGCAAATGCTAAAGAGAGCTACTAATCATCAAATCTATACATAAATTTAGGTCAGGGAAGGTAGGTATAAATATTGGAAATCACTGTTTATAATAATTGCACATACATGAATTTCTTCTCACAATTGGAAGCTATAAACAAAGTTACAAAAGAATTTAATAGATAAGAAATTTGGGTCTTCATAGATGGCGGCTACTCCTGAACAAATAATCTATACAAAAATTTGTTCTTCCGGTGAAGAGGTACTAACCTTGTACAACAAATTTAGAGTATAGGTGTGTTGCGTCTCCTGGAATAGCAAAAAAATTTACTTGCCAAAGATCATCGTACATTTGTGAATTCACAAGTAGGGATTCCATGGTTTTGAAACCATTCGGGCATTTGAAACCTTTCGCGAAGCACAGGCCTTACATCCTTCTGCTCAGATAGATGCTTGAGAAGTGGAAGGATTTCTTCCAAAAGCTAATGTGGAAGATGAAAACGAAGTTAAACTCACAGAGTCACGGGGATCAAAGTAGACTAAAATTTGAGGAATAGACCTCATTATTATTTTCTGATCATTCCTTGTACCTGGTTGTCATGGGGTTGTCCAGGAGAAAATGAAATGCACGGGATTCCATTTAAAGGCTGTAACAAGAAACTGAATGGGTTGTTATCAACAATGACAACCCGGCATAAATCCTCTGATATGCATGACAGATCCTTCACATGCTCCCGGAATTCCCTGTGATGCACATTTAGTGTCAAATTTACCATAGTTATATTATATATTATACAGAAACAACAGTGACTTTGAACTATTTAAGTTGTTATAGGTGGCATCAGCGAAAACCAGAGTTCACAAGGAGAAACAATACAAGGGAAATCAACTGATAGTAGTAGGGGTGTTCATAATTCAGTAAAAACCAGACTACCAAAATGAACCAAGCAAACAAAACACGAAAGAGGAAAACCATACCATACCGAATTTAATTAGGTTTGGTTCTGATATCCTATTTCAAGAAACCAAAAATACTGAATTAATATTTTCCAAATCCGTACTATCGTCTGTAGTTTAAATTTCACACAGAACAAACCATATAAAAAAAACAAGAAACACATAACACGATGGTCAGAAACCGTCATCATTAATGGAATACCCATGTAAAATAAAATTAAAAACTATTAAGCAACGAATTTGGAAAACGTCATATATTAATCAAACCTCAACATCCACATGTATTCGACGTGGCTGTCACATCATCCAAACTGTCCATTTTAAGGTGACGTCAACATGGTGTGCCATATCATCATATCCATTGGCTTATCTACGTCCATGTTGCTCCCACCTCAACATGTCGTAGTGTTGTTTTCTTTCCACATGGCTTTTTTGAAAGGATTGCCCACACAAAATTCTACAACAATCTGACTTCATTTATCCATGAGTGTTTATTATTGACTATAGGTGGCAATATTCAACTCAATACCACCCTAGTATTCATCATGGTGTTCAAATGATAATGAACTTATTCACACCGTCAAGTAGTGTAAAGTGTAAACTCAAACAGAACAAACAAAAAAGAGAACATTTGAACTGATGTCAGTATGACAACATTCAACAACATTTCCACCTCATCTTTAACAACATACTCAATGAAATCCCACAAGTAGGATCTAGGGAAGGTAGAGTATATGCAGAAAGAAGTACATTCAAGTACACCCTCAGCTCAAGCGCAGCACATCCAAGCACAAAGAAGAAAGAATCAAAAGTCACCCTTGGCACAAATTATTAACTCGTGGTTAGCAATTTAACCTGAGTTTTTCCTCATTCGAGATATATATTCCTGTCCTCAGCCTGTGTAATCATAACAAGGCCACTGACACCTTCCTGGTTACCCCTCAAGCAGCTATTGTCAATTGACATCACCTGAATCCAAGCCTTACGCTTGTCACTTGGATACGGTTGATGAAAAAACCATTATCAACAGAAATTGACAAGTTCTTTTCTTCGCTAATCTCATCAGATAGTCAATATGATTTATAATTTTGCTTCTTGTTTCAAGCTCTAACGCACGATCTAGAGTGAAAAGAATGAAATAGACAATCCCATAATCCATGTAGAATTCTCGATATAGTGTGGTGCACAACACACCGATAAGTACAACATTTACTTATTGAGCATCAAACATTTCCATGAATCCAATTTTCCTTCTAATACCATCATATTTTTACTCCTTTTATCCGTTCACTTTCAGATTATTTCTTTACTCTATGACGCTTAAAAAGAACAGATTTGCCTCACATTTAACATGTCAAATGATGCCAGATAGGAAAGACAAAAAATAGTAAAAGACAGAAAAACAAGTATCTATACTTACGTGCTAATAGTTGAAGGACGATAAAGTCTATGGCTAAACAGATTCTCAAGGTCAATTTTATCAACAACGGGTCTTGCATATCCTGTATGCACATAACAACCATAAGATCAATATTTTTGGATGAAGTTGCAATGGAAAAGGAAGAGAACTAAATCAAGTAGAAAGTAATGAGTTAACCTTCAAGTCCAGCAGTAAACAAGACCAGATTAGCAAACTCGCTAAGTTGTTTTAGAAACTCGTGTAATCCAGGACGTTCAAAAACTGTGACATAGTTGATTTTAGGTTTGCCATCATATTCCTAAAACCTCCAAGAAGAGAATCAGCGTGGATGTCAAAGAAACTTGCTAGAATATTCTGTCATATAGTAAGTTTACCTTTTCTGAAGATACGCACTCAAGCTCAAACCACTTCAACCCAGCCTCTGTTGCCTGGGTGCAAATGATGGTAGGCAAACTTGATGTCTCATATGCACAAATCAAAGTTTCATCCAAGTCAAGAACTACCTGCATCCAGCATCTAAGAACTTGAGAAAAACATAAACAGAAGGCAGTCATTTTAACAAAATATCTATTAAAGATTGATAAACACCATTGACAGTCAGCAGTATCCGTGTTCCAAGAAGCATCGGTTATCCAGTTCTACAAACATTTAATAAGCTGGTTATCCGAAACCCAGCTAGGTTGTGGGTACAATTAGTTAAAGTGATTTTAGACCTTCTGTTGTCACTAAAACCCACCATCTCTTCTTGATACAAGTCAACTTTCGAATTCAGTTAGATGTCAATACTCTTAAAAGATTCTGCCAGAAACTTCTTTGAACTACAACTTTTATTCATCAAGTGAAGCTATGAAGGTATATTCTTCGAAACCAAGACGTAGTCAGTCATGTACATAAATAAAAATGATGAAGCAAAATGAACTTATGGAAAGACAGTCAAAACATTTTTAAGGTCTGGCCAGCCATGTAATTGACAGCCGATGACACAATGTTTATTTATGGAACACTTCAAAATTCCGATACCTAAAATACACTCAAGATTGTTGATATAAGGCTCCTCTAGTATAAAAGAATACTACCTATGACTAATATAGGGCATATTACATAAATAGCAGCCTTCAAACTTGCAACAACAGCACTTCGCTGGCTCAAGCCTATATCACAGCCTAACAAAAAGCTCATTGGACTTGCAGGACTATAAACTAGCCAGCTAATTTGACAATCTATTTGCTCAAGGGACCTTATCCACTACACCACCTTCCCAACAAATAAGGAAAGAACTCAGAAGAAACCCAAAAGAATACCGTAACAATGCAAAACATAGAAATCACCTTACTAACTAAAAACGCATGTTGTAATCACAACATTCTCTATCCTTTGACATATTTTATGGAAAATTAATGATTCCCCAAGGAACTCATGTCCTCATTATAGTTGCCCTGCTATAAAACTTCCTCCTTTTACCAATTTAAATTTCCATAATACCATTCATCTCTTCAGATTAGAAGCTAACTTTGCATGTTATATGCTTATACTAAATTTTCAAGTTGACTTGTGAACATCCTGGACCAATCTGCACATGGTTTTCACACTACTTAAATAGCTTACAATAGCAGCCAAGGGTGTGCTCTAGTGGCCAATGAAGTGGGTGAAAACCATGAGAGACCTGGTTTCAAATTCCAACACTGACAAAAAAAATAAAAAATAGGTGATTTCTTCCTATTTGTCCAAGTCTTGGTACCTGTGTTGATCACTGTTGTTTAGCTTGTATCGCACATTATGCCTCATCAAAAAGCATATATATCAGATGCTCCAGCAGACATTACAATCCTTCCGGACATAAAAGCTAACATGATCTAATACATCATTTGTATGATTAACCAGACATTACAACACCAATGCATTTTGCTAAGAGAAATCAATTATTACCCATGAATTTCTATTCAATTATGAACCAATATGCACCTTGGCCAATCCAAAATTTCTTCCTACTATTTTTTTTTTGATAAGGTTAAGGTTGTATTCATCAGCATTAAGGACATGCTGGAGACCAAAAATTTCTTCCTACTATTCCAAGCAACAAATTAACTGCATCCATTATAGTTATCATATTATACAATTCATTGTTACTTTTACATGTACTTGAGTTTATTATGGAATGAATCAAAGAATGGGGAAGAAAAGAATGTATTTATTGACCATCTCCCTGCTACAGCAAGTAACAAACAAGACGGTCATGCACAAGCATACATTAGTTAGGTCAGCAGTTAATGAACTGAAGCGTCGAGACTCGAAAGGCCGAAGAATAGAAACCAAACATTGACCTACACAATGCTTCCTAAAGTTTTGGGTGTCTACTTTGCATTTAGTCTTTCTCCAATATTAGATATCAACACTTCAGAAACTTTCTTCGGAAGTGATCTTGTAATCATCCAACATCTAATTAGAATTCCTCTTAAAACTTATACTGCACAACTTATAACTATTCAACCAAAAAAGTTGTAGTTTACCAGCATATCCAAAATTTGTAAGCATTAAATTCAGTCTGTATTCCTAAGAAAAATCCAATCCTCAACCCAGAAAAAGAAACTAAAGATGCAAATAATCTAGTTTTAGTGTTTTACAACAGGTCCTAATTTACCATTTAGCATGAATTTAACCACTTCCACTGCTGACTAGCAGTCTGGCACAAATCATGACCATTAAATACAACAACATACCCAGTATAGTCCCACAAAGTGAGATTTGGGGAGAGTAGAGTATACACAAACCTTACCCCTACCTCAGAAGTAGAGAGGTTGTTTTTGATAGACCCTCGGCTCAAGGAAAAACAGTTCAAAGCCTTCTAGAAAAAGAAGAAACTGAAGTACAAAAAAGAGAAGATAATAACAAAAACATCAGAAAACCATGACCATTGAAACACACAGAGGTTAATTGCCAAGTGCAAACCTACTAGATTCCTAATAAGTATTCAACTTTTAGCAACGATAATCTGATCAATTCGTGAGCGACCAATACAAGAGTGATATATGATTCATTCTCACAAATAATCTGAATTAGTCATGTTCATCTGAATGATAAGTAGTTCAATGATAATGTAAGTATATAGGTTGTTTGGTTGATGAACAAGTTAAGCAAAAGCTATACAAGCATTAGCTAAGCAGAGATTTACATCGGATTTAAACACTATATAATACTACAAATAATGAAGAGTTTTGTTGCATTAATAGTACAAAGTTATATGCTGGGACTATTTTTCCTTATATAGCAAAACATATAGTCATATGATCCAATAAAACGAAAACACAATACCTAAATCCAATTTCTACAGCTAATTACGAGAAATTACCGTGAGCTTCTGTAAACGTTCCTCCTCAACACTGATCGGGACACTTCCGGTTGTGATTTGCAGAGTCGAGAGAGCAACGGATGACGTCGGCGGCGCCTCCTCCTCCGGTGGCTCAACGTCAGGCAGCGGCTTGAACTGCGGAGAGGAAGAGAGAAGAGAGCTATTGCGAACGCCAAAGTAGGAGAGAACCTGAGTTACACAAGGCGTTCCTTTGAGGATCTGAACAAAGATCTGGAAGAAGAAAGCTAGCCAGTTCAGTAGCGATTTCCAAATTTGTAGAGTTCTCGTCGGCGCGTAGACTTGTGCTGCTTGAACAAGCTCCGGCATGGTTTCGGCCGGAAAAACAAAGACCGGTGAATTTGTATAAATTCCGATGAATCCACCACTGTGGAAGTCAAAAATAGCAGATCAATGGAGAATTCAAAAGTTCATTTTTTTTTCTTTTCTACTGATTAGTAGATGCTGAGTGTATTATTATTAGGATTAATATTATTGTGAAATAATTATTTGACCACAAAATCTCTATCACAACTTTTCCATCTTTTAAAAAAAAAAATTATAAATAAAAAAAGATAACTTATAAATTTATCACTTAAGAAATTTTCCATGTAAATTTACAAATTTATTTACACATTCAAAAAAAATTAATTATAAAGATATAATAGAAAAAAATATTAACTATATTTAAGTTTTTGAAAATTAATTCATAATTTGAGATAACTATTTATAATAAGACAGACAATTAATGATGGGAGTATAATATATTATGAGGTTGAGAAAGAGAACATTTGACACACGAGTGGACAATTTATTTTTTAGAATTTATTTAGTTTCCGCTCAATATGTGAAATCAATATTGAAATTAAATTCGAATTCATATACTAGAATCAATTTTATTTGGATGTTTTAAAATAAATTTTTTATTCTTAATTACTCAATTTCAAAATTTCTAATTAAAAACAAAGATATCTCAACCATTCTAATACAAATTATGATGAATTTCTTTTTTTTGTCCAAAAACAAAACTTTAAAGTTTTTGTTGGAAAATAAAAAATAGAATAAAAAGAGTTTTGTCGGATTGGGAAAGAAGCAGAGGCCTTTTATTTTATTTTATTTTAAATTGGGATTCTAAAACCAAAGTTTTATTTAAGTAGGAATAAAGTTATGTTTTTTTAAGTTCTCCATTTCTTTTCCAATTTATATTTGACTACTTTTATTATTACCTTTTTAGTCAATTAAATGTTTGGAAATTTTAAATTATTTGTGTTGATTGATAAACCATAATAACTGCCTCAAATTTACTGAATGCAACATATCAATAGGAACAATTATGATAAACACTTTGTCCATATGGTCGGACAAAATTTAGAAGTAGTTCAACTACTCACTTTATTTATTCCTTTTTATATAAAAGACGACAATATTATAGTTAAAAATCACTACATGAAAGTAGAATTGTTCATGGTTATGATTAAAAAAATTAAATCCAGCCGCAATTTAAACTAAATCGATTAAAAAATTAATATTTTGGTGTGGTTTGGTTTTAAATGTTGAAATCAATACTATTTGGTTTGATTTTAAGTTTGCTAAAAAAAATTAAACCCGCAAAAATAACCAAATCGAACTGATAAATTATATATAAATTTTTTATAATTACTTATATATTATTCATAAATAAAATATAAATATTTTGTTAAATTTTAATCAACTTAAGTTTTAACTTTACTTTTTTTCTCTAGCTCAACACTTAAAATTTAGCTCAACTACTAAAACCCTAAGGAGTTGTTTGGTTGGAATACAAGTTATGTTGAGATTAGTTATCCTAAGATTGTTTCCTATTGACTGTTTGGTTTGTTGTATTAAAAAAATTTATATGTATTTTTTTTTATAGAGCTTTATTTATTTATTCACTTTTAAAAGTAAATTACGTGAATCTCAATTGTTTAAATTTGTATTTCACATGAATCGAAATAGGCTCGTGGGAAGCCTCTCCTCTTCACTATCATAAGTAAAATACTAAATAAAAACAAATTAATCAAAATTTGAAGTAAAAAATTGTATCAAAATAACCAAAAATATTGGATCAAAACTCCAAAAAATGCATCAAGAAGAAAGCAGCAAAAAAGTGACCAAAATACACCAAAACAGCTACAAAAACTGCACTAAAACAGCTATTAAAACTGAAAAAAATAGCAAAAACTTCAAAAATTTGACCAAAATTGCACTAAAATACATGTCAAAACTAGAGCAAGCAGCTATACTATACAAAAGTGATAATAAAAGGATTTGAAAAATATTTTTTTCATTTCAATTGTTTTATCCCAGGATAAGTTGTCCTGGTATTGTTATTCCACCAAGAAGGAAGGATAACTTATCCCAGTACTTTTTGCTAATCATGTGATAAGTTATCTCATACTTTGTAACCAAACAAGAAATAAAAAAGAAACTAACAAATTATCCCACGACTATTTTCTTTTATCCATCACACCATACGATCCCTAAGTCTAAGTCCATCAAAATCCATTACTTTAATATTTACCTACCTTACCTCACATCACATAGTCGCAACTTCTCTTAATTGAATCACTTTGTTCGTGTATTAATAACTCTAATATTGCTTAATTGAATATGCGATAATTTTCTACTTCTCTTAATTGAATCACTTTGTTTGTGTATTATTAACTCTAATATTGCTTAATTGAATCTGCGATAATTTTCATGTTGATTGTTCATGTACTAAGTGTCTGTCGTCTATCGAGAATTCGAGATGAGTATGACATCAACAAATTTATTACAACGATTATTTTTTTGATTTGATTTGATTTTATAAATTTAAAAACCAACTAAATTGATTTGGTTTTGATTTTAATCAATTACCGATCCAAATCGAATCATGAGCACCCCTACCTGCGAGGTTCCTCCCTATGATGTTTTCGGTGAGGGTTAGTAATCTTTATGTATCTGATTCAGTAATTTTGCTCAAATAATATATTTATATTAATAATTTTTTTTTATATATATATATATATATTAAATCTAAAATTTAATTATTGTCACTTAAAAGTTTTCTTATAAAATTAATAATTCATAAATTTTATTTAAAAGTATTCTTATAAAATTAATAATTCATAAATTTTATTTTATTTTATTTTTAATTTCATCTCTAATGCTAGTTGAGCTGCCCATATGACCCAACATATTACCAGTAGTCCGACCGTATGGACCCGCCTCTAAGGTGCTTTTACAGCACATCCCGCGCTATATATATATCTTTGCAAGGGTCATTTCCACTTTTGCCCCTATTTGTATTGGTATTTAATTATCTAGCTAGGATTTAAGTTTGGGAAAATTGTACGTTATAACAAATTATTAATTCAAAATAAATGTTATAGCTACAGTTTCATTTAATTCCAATTTGTAGCAAACACATTGTCATTCTCGCTTCTCTCCCCTGAATCTCATAGGCCTCTCTCCCTGAATCTCGCTCACCTCTCTCCCCTGAATCTCGCTCGCCACTCTCAATTCTGTCACTCGCCTCTCTCACTTTTAATACAAACACAAATGTATACATTGTGTTTGTGTTGTATAAAGTAGGAGAGACTATATATACAAATACAAATACATATTTCTCCGTCCTGTACACTTATAATTGTACTAATGGATTACAAATTTTCCACTATTCAATTCTCTTTTCTCTTTTCCCCTCTCTCTTGCTTTATATAAACAAATTATACAAATACAATGTACAATTTGTGTTTGTATAAAGTGAGAGAGAGATTTGATAGACAAATACAAATGTTGTAATCCAATTCAATTGTATACAAATTCAAATTTTATGCAAATATACAAACACAATCATTGATATATATACATAGTAGTTACATATATATAACTATATAACCGATATACATATACAATTCACTTTCCTCAACTCTCTTCCTTCTCTCGCTCGCCTCTCTCTCCTCGCTCGTCACTCTAGCCCAACACAAAGAACATATACATATACAAACACAATTTTCATAGACACCAACTCCCGATTTATATAATTCGGCGCGATTTATACAAATCAGATGTTGTATAGCAGACTATGTTTGCTATGGAGCGCAAATAGGAAAACTGTAGCTATAGCGTGCAAAATAATTTTTATGTTTGTTATTCCTAAAATTTACTCAAGTTAGTTTTGAGGATTAAAAATTAAAGACCAATACTAAGTACTTTACTCAAGTTAGTTTTGAGGATTACTCAATACCTATAACTAATTTGATATTTGCTCTCTCGATGATGTTGTTGGAAGATTAGGTAATATTCTCCACTTTCCCGTTGTCAATTGTTTTTTCTATTCAATATTCTCATTTATTATTGTATTTATTGTAAAACTAAAGCAAAATAAGACAAAAAATATAGAAGATGAAAGCAATAGAAATAGGGAGACAAAAGATGAGAGATTTTCTTATTATTTCAAATCTTCAAGTGTATACAATATGAACATTTATATCTCTATTTATAGTGTAACATAGAGACATACAAAAGGTTAGTCATAAACATGACATTAACATGAATATAATGGGGGAGGTTATGGAAGTGAAAGGTTACAAGAATAATGGTTATAAAGGTGGAGATTATAGATGTTATGGTTAGCTTCATAATGGAGGAAAGTAATGGAGTAACTTCTTGATGTAGCGGATTATCTTCATAATGGAGGGAAGTAATGTAGTAACTTCTTGGTGTAGTGGACATCCACAATATATTATTTTATAACATTTGAACCGAAATGGCAAACCAATTATGCCAGCTGATATTTATTCTAGTAAACTTCTAGTTTACTTTTGCATGTGATTCCTTCATCATGTTCATATTTTTATTCAACAAACAAGAGAAAGGCGGATAACCTTTTATGTAAATATTCATAACCTACTTTGATTGTAGTAATCTAAAGATATTTAATCTTTCAATAATTTACAGTCTCAATATAATAATTTTTTTTCAATTCCTCTGAAACTTAAAAAGTTTCTTTTGAGACTTACTACAATCCCAATATTATGAACAATTTCACTTCGGGTAGTAACAAATTAGCTCTTTCGGAACTCTCAATTAATTTGTGTACTACCATAAATTTCACAACACTATTTTTATGTTGATCATCTCCTTCGAGGAGAAAATTATTATTATTGTCATGGTTAAAATTATTGCATGCAAGACTTTTTCTTGGCAACCAATGACAAATTTGTGTTGCCACAACATTTATTTTGGTCATGACCACAACCTTTATAGAAAAGATTTATTTCTTTCCTTTGTCCTCCAATATTTCATAATAAAACATACCACAATATTTGTGCAGTACTCAAAGTATATTACCAAAATGACCATTTATGTCAAAATATTTCCTTTCAATCTCTCAAACCTCCCGTAGAGGTGAGATGTGACATTCATTCAACACAGGGCCGTCTTAACCACTAGGCCACTAAAGC